TTTTTCATTTGTAATAAAGTTTTGTGTGTTTGTTGGGTTATTTGGGATGGCTTTGAATTTCTTTTTCTCGGAAAGGATGTCGTTCATTTTGTCGATGAATTCTGAATTGTTCATGATGACAGTGGTGTTGCCTTTATCAGCTTTTAGAATTTTAATGTTGGTGTCCTGTTTAAGATTGGAAATGGATTTGATCTCGTTACTTGTGAGGTTACTTTTCAGTTTACGGAATTGGTTGACTATATTAACAGTCTTGTTTGAGAATTCTTTGAAAAAGTTATTTAAAATACAGTTTTTGGGAACTTTGGGAAACCACATTTTGTTGTAGTTACCTGTGATAAAAGTCTGTTGGTTGATGTCATGGATTTCTTCTTTCTGTAGTTGGAGGATATTTGAGGTAGAGGTGGTCTTTTGTTCTTTTATGTAGCGGGTCACTAGTCTTCTGGCTAGATCTTCTAGACACGCCTTGAACTCTAGGCATGGAGTTGTTTTGTGGTTGTACATGGTTGTACATTTGCTGTTATGTTAAACTTATATTAAAGTTTTTCTTCATTACCCATTCAAGCCGTCTCCAGCCATTTTTACCTATGTTTTTAAGCTGTGTTGAGGATCATGAATTTTATTTATCAAATGTTATAATAATCATGTTCTGTTAGATTATATAATTAAAAGTTTTTATACTTTTTGTTCTGCTCTTTTACTTTACAATAACAAAAAATAATCACACAGATGTAATGGTTTCTAAGAAAATTAATGTTTATGTAAAAGTTATAAGACTACGTAATTAAATTGTCCAGTTGCTGGTATTTAATTACTTAAGCACAACATATTGTTATACTGCTACTAAATGTAACAAATTTAGTATGGTGTGTAACTGTGAAGGTTCTTACACTTTAAGGATATTATGCTTATATTGTGATAATATAAACATATTAAGTGTTGGGAAAAATTAAATGTTTCATGACAATATATATATATATATACTCCAAGGTTATAGACCATAGAAATTAACAACCTAGCTCTGGTTCCAAACACAAAGTTTAGTTGATAAATAAAAAATTAGTTTTGTATAAATATTTTTTATTAATATTGAGGTTAGTTTGTCATGTTCTTGCATCAACTTCAAGAAGTAATACTCACTGTGTACAGGTTCAAAATTTTACCGTGACAAAAAAAATGGATGAAGCAAATCTGTCATTGTCATATATCATGTATGATATTCATTACACCACCTTGAAAGTAGGTAACAGTACAGTTAGTGCACAAAAACTGACTGAGGGGCTTTCATTGCTAAATTTATTTTATCTAAGTAAGACCTGTTCCGGTTTATTTATTGTTTTAACTAATATGTGAGCTACAGTTCTTTTTTTATTTATTGAGTATGTTATTTTGCTTCATGAGCGGTTGATTAATAGTGAACAAATTTAAGACATTTTGAATGGCTGTTCTTTGGACAACCATTAACCATACTTTATTTGTTCTGCATAAAAAAGGTTGTCCTTCCATGAGTAAAAAGAAATTGATCTCAGTATCGTAAGGATACACACAAACATACAAACAAAAACATGATCAAAAGCTTATATCAAATGTCTGATCAACATCAAGTACTTTATTAAGGTAAACACTGTTACATTGTTGACACAACATTGTGTATTCACTCATGTCTCATCAAACAACTTGGGCTTATACCTCGGAAATACTGTGAAAAAAATCATTGATACAAATCAACTGTTCTGTTTTGACAGTTTGAATAATTACAATAAACAAACCAGCTCAGGTAACGTGGTGAGATATGATAGTGGGATCACTATTGGAACCCCTCAAAAATACTACAGCAAAATTAACACAATAACTTGCTAAATATTATGTACTAAGTGTTTGGAATATTTGCTTCTCTACTATCCTAAGCATTACTCTAATGTGGGTGCATTATGCTTACTGTACACAGAAAACAAGGCTTTGTTAACATTGAAAAAAGTCTGCAAAAAATTGCTGTTTTGCTTATTTATATTTTCATGCATGTTGTATCCATTCCTATCATACAATTGTTATAGGACAGGGATTAATGCAAGGGTTTTGTTAGTCACTACCATAACACAAACATATTTGCCGCAGTAGCAGTTATCTTTTTCCAAAATAAGCTCAACTTTTTGTGCACTCAAAGCCCACATATTTGTTTTAGCTCAATACCAGAGACGTTTCATCTGTATCAATGTATTTTAACTGAAAGACATTAATAATTTTTTCACCCCTTCAATGGAACCATCAACTTCCACCCAAGAAAACTAATCACACAGTAAGTGTAGCAATCATCAGTTGCATTTGGTTGAACTAACACATGACATTTTGAATAGGGATGTTACTAATGTGGAGATTTCTTCCATGGTTTAGGGGATTTCCCCCCACACTATTACAGGTACCTTGGAAGGCAGGCTGTGAATTAAGCCTTGTGGTACATCATATGTAGCTAGAGGTAGAGTGTTTCTGGAGATTTCCATGCCAGTTTGGACTCGTGGTGTGAAGTACGTACATCAGAAATAAAAAGCACTGCGTGTGTGTATGTTTGGAAGTTGCAGAGCCATTCAATATGAACATGAGAATAACACAGGAATTATCACTTTGTTGATAATATTTTCCAATTGCATCTCCCTGGTTCAATGCTGAAATGCTCGTGCAAGTATTTACAGCTTTGAAGTCTGAAATAATTTGATTGTTTGAAGGACAACCTCGTTCACTGATTGATGTGTAGAAAAATATTTATTTATTGAGAAGTTCAATGGTTTACTATAATGTCTAGCAAGTATTTGTGAAGAATTAAATACAAGTTGTCATTTTGAGTATTTACTTTTGGTAGCATTTCAAAGAAATGTGACAGCTATACTATTAATGTCGCTTTTTTTTTAATATTTAGATTCTGACTTTCATTATGAAGTAATATTTTATTAATCATTTCACAATTTTCTAAATCCTCAACAAAAGTAATTTATGTATGTATGAACTTAACTTCTCCCAAGCATTAATTTCATTTTCATCTTTTGCATAATAAATAGTCCAATGATATATTGTGATTGTTTAGTAATTAAAAAGGGGGAAATTAAGTGTTTGTTTTGGTTTATTCTTTGAAATGAAAATAATTATCTAGTGCATAATAAATAAAAATGTAATGTTAAAATAAATTTTGCTTCCTTAAACATCCAGCTTATTTAGTAGTGGTTATCCAAAAAGTTATAAATTCTATCTCTAAGAGTCGAAAGTGGAAAGAGATGTAGCTGGAAACTGTCCTTGCTTTCCTCCGTGTGAAGCTTGAATAATCAGTTCTTGTTTATAAGTTTTAAATTCTTTGTGACCTACTTTATAATAGTTTTTTTATCAAAAGTTTGAAAAGATTTAACATTTTATAATTTAAACATTTATTTTTGTTATACTTTTTCAAAAGTGCATATAGTTACTTTGGTTTTACAAATATAAAAAGCGAAGTTAATGTTTATGATCTAACTTACTATTTGCATATGAACATAATTAAAAAGCTAATATTAGATTGAGCTGTCTGGTACTCCTTGTGGATTCATGTTTTCAAGTATCTTGATTATGTATTTTTGTAGCTGTTAGACTATAATGCAGAGTTTGTGGAGAAAAATACTGACAAAAAAGCTCGACCTGAAGCTAGTTATTACAGGCCTCGGTTCGGAGGGAACATCGTGAATTTAGGAATAACATCATCATGTTCTGTACTAGATGGTATGATTTAAAATTTTTAAATAAATGACATTTATCTTGGTTATTTGTAATAATAAGTGTAGTTTTTTTTTCTATTTAGTTTTTTATTACTTGTTTTAATTAGGTATTTTGCATGCTACGTACCATATAAAACTAGCAAAAATAATAGTTAAAATGTGAGATCCAGTGTTAACAGATTGTCATTGATTATGTGAAACTAATAATGTACATTTTGCTGACACTCCATGAAGTTTGTGGGAGTATTTTTTAGTTCTTTATTTTTATAGTACATATTCTTTATATATATATATTCTTCACTGCATTATAAACATGTTCATAAGTACTTCCAATATTATGAGCCTGAAATTAATGTAGTTGGTTCAGCTATGAAACTGTTATTAACATAATCTCTTCCTCAACAAGAGGCATCTTGGTGGCAGGGATCAGACTTAAAAACCTGGAATTTATCCAATTTTGGTAGCATACAAAGAGATATAATGATTACACTGTATAATTTCCAAATCGGACAAAACTTGACTGAGTTATGATGGCTATATCATCAGTAGAAACCCCATAGTACTTCTTGATATGTAACCGACAGATTCATTATGTGAAACTTCTTCTTAGCCCATTGTTGAACCGGTTTTTTTAGAACAGAGCCCAATAGATCTTTAGAAATTAAAAATACCACCCAGACCACTTTATTCACAACAATTTTCTGATTTGTAAGTATGCATACAATCATGACCCTGTACTTTTTCTTTCACCATAGAATAAAATATCATCAGTTAAACAATCTTTTTCTGTTTCTCATTTATTTACACAAGTTGATACGCTGAATGAAAGAAAGGTTAAAAAACAAGGTCCATTTCTTTATGGACTGTACATCACCAAACGGTTGCTAACAGCACTCTATGCACAGAGCTAATACACTCTTTGTGCTTCTCAGAATGATATGCCACGTGACTCCCTGTTAGTACTGCACTGTGTATTAGCTCATTGTTTGGGGAGATTGCCGAAGAGTGCATGACAACAGAGCAATTGGAAATTTGGAATGTCCTATTACTTTCTAGTAGGGTGATTATCAATTGTTTGAATTGCACATGTCACTGTTGGAGATGTCACTATAAGTTGGAAGTGGTAAACAGGTATATACAAATACTTACAAAATAACCTATTGGACAGGTATGGAACATTCCGTTTCATCATTTGACAGTCTCGTTATTTATTAATATGTGTAGTACAAGGAAGTTAACTTAGTTAGTTGTGGCTCAACAAATGTGAATGCTGATTGGTTGGATTTCTTCTGAATGAAAAAACTAGAGATTTTAGGTTTTTCGAGTAGGTAGCAAATGGTTGATAAACAAGAATCACAAAGTTGGGGAATTGTCATAACCGACTGCCTGTTGCACCTGTAACTAACTTTATCGAGGGTAAAAGCTAACATTTTGTGATTTTAGACAAATGTCAAAAGACAGTGTAAAGTGCTGAGATTTGAAACACGTTCAATGAAAGCATGTGTGTCAAGCCAAGAAGTGATAAATTTTAAATAATTCAACCAGCACGATGTGGGTCTTCTTTATCACAATGCATTAAAGTTTGTCATTTCTTTTTTCAAGGCTGGAAAGCTGATCATCACATATGCAATAAAATACAGTGAGGAGCATTTTTAACCCTATTGCCACGGGTATCCTTTACTGTGCATGTCATGAGCTTTTAGTGACTTACATTCAAAATTTAATTAAACTGCATTTTGTTTATGTTATACCAATTAGTATAGAAAAAAAGTGTAATTTAGATTTATTTCCTAATTTTATGATGGTTACAAGGTCGGTCAAATTGACCAACCTTTTATAGAGTTAAGGCAGAGAAAATAACAGATAAGGTATAAAGTTTTACTGAAAACAAACATTTGAAATCTATTAGGAGGTTTTAGAGATTACACAAATGAAATTTGAGATTTTTGAGATGAAGAAAAGTATTTTAATCTTAACATGAAAATAACTTTGCACATGTACTAGTAAAAAAACAACTTGATATATTCACAAACAATTCTTTTTTTTTTAGTTTATTAAAAATATTTCATTAAAAATATATTTTGTATGTGAAAGACTTATAATGTTTACTGAAAGTCTGCCAAATTTTGTGAAGATATACATACTATATTAAAATTTAGTAGTATCAAAACTATAAAGAGTTTAAATGAGTACAAAGAGGTCACGTGGTCAGTCAAATCGATCGAGTCCGGTTGAGAGAGTTAATAAGGCCAATTTAAGAGAAAATATTTGGGTAACTGTTTTGAAGATTCCTCTCTCTTTATGAATGAAACTTTCAAATGCTGTCACTTTATCTGATCTTTGGTTAGAATACTTCGTTTGGTTTAAAAATTGGTTTAGTTAAAAAGGTGTAGAGTGATAGCAAAAGTCTTTGAACTTATGGCTCAAGTGAATGATGAATTTAGACAATGAACCTCAAAAATTTGTTTGTCTCTCACAACAGTCACATATATTAATCATGCACTAGTCTCAAGATCAGTCCCCATTTTTATTTTTCACTCATTCCATTACAAAAACCAAAAGAGATTGATTTTTTTGGCATGGTTCATTTATTAATAACTTCAACCATTTCAAATTTAATGAAACTTCAAAGTACATTCTCTGTAGTTGTGAAAATGTTTAAGGTTAAACTCTCAACAATATTACACAATGACATCATCAAATTATAAACTGTGCTATAATAATCGGCTGTCGGTGATTTCTAATTGTGACATGATCGCTAAAACACAACAGCAGATAGCTCTAAGCCCTGCTGACCATGACTGGGACTGCTACTTTTTGGCATGTTATCACCAATCCCAATTCTTCCTTTAGTTACCCATATATGCAAGGTTCTGAGATGTTTGACTTGCAACCTGTTGCTGTGGATGAGATCGCAATGGACATTTTGATGGCATTCAAAAATAGGTTTGATGTTGAGAAGAGCAGTAATGATAGTAGTATTAGTTTTCTACCAGATTAAAAGATCAGGAACAGACAACGAAGAAAGGTTGCATAACTTGATTTGTGAATCAGAAAAAAGAGATAACCAATTGGTGTGTGTGTCCATTGCTGGCAAGGTGATGTGGCTACTCAAAAACCTTAATTTGAATTTAAAACTTGTGGCAGGAATTTAGGTTTAAAAATCTTTTAAGCTTTGGTGAAAATTTTGTGACCTGTAAGACAACTTGGGATGATCAGAAATACTTTGTTTCTCTTCACCCCGCACGATCAAGAAGTTAAAGCCAAATGAATTTTGATTAAGCCACTGGGCTTAAAATTATTGAAACGAAAATGGGAGAGATGTTGTGAGGCAAGAAGAAATGCGGAACATGCTGACCCAAGCATGCCGAGAAAATCATGAAGACACCTTTTGGTAGTCGGGTTTGAATCACGTGTGTCTGTCGATGCACATGACAGTGATGTCAGGCAGAGTGAGTAGTTGTCAAGTGGAAAAGGGATTAACAGACCAAGTATGCGAGTTTCAGTTTTGAATAGTTGTCAATATGAAGTTATGTGATTGAAAGAAAAGAAAACTTTATAAAATTAAAATGATAATAAGTTGAAACTGAGTCAGGTAGACTTGTGAGAGTAATGGCCCTTTTTAGGTGGCTGGTATAACTTATTCAATGTCCTTGTTAATTTGGATGGAGGGGAAATGGAATGCCCAGAGAAAACCTGCTTTCACGGGGTAAGCCCCAATTGATCTACCTGATCTGTGCCTAAGATGTGGAACTGAAAAGGAAATTATTGATTAGTATATGTATATGGTTAAACACTATTTATATAGTTAAGAGGCAGATTTTGTTAAACAAGACCGATGTCTGTAGGTTTATATTCTTCTTTAACAAAATCTGCCTACAAGAAAATCTGTCACCAAAGTACACCAACATAGTTAAGAGGAGAGACGTATGTTTGCCATGTGGATGGTGTGGCTGCAAGGTTGGGAAAGGTACTTGTTTGGCTGTTTCTTTTTAGTGCTGTTTTGTAGAATTTTTGAGCTAATGTATTAATGTAATCCTTAACACTTTCAACACGAGGTTGGTCAGTGTGACGACCTCTTAACCATTTTGTGCTTGTTATAGTTTTCATGCTATAACTTTAAATTAGTAAGTGAACGTTAATAAAATTTGGCAGATTATCGGTAAACATTACAATGCTTTCATATGCAAAATATCTAATTTTTTTATTAAGTTGTAAGGTTTGTAAAGCATGTTTCTCTCATGCCTTTGTTTTTCACATCTTGCCTATCTATCATGCAAAGTAATTTTAAGATTAAAAATACTTTTATGCATCAGAAAATTTTGAAATTTCGTATGCGAAATCTTTATAATGTTATCAAAGGTATCTTAAGAAAAACTTTATATTTTATCTGTTATTTTTAGTAATTAATCTCTGTATGGGTTCAGTAGATTTGAACGATCTCGCAACCACCATAAAAAGTTAGGAAATAAAAATAAATTATGCCTCTTTCATTCTAGAATGACAACAAATTATAACACGAAAACATGAATGTTTAGACTAAATACCTTAAATCTCATAACATTATATATTTATATATTTTTATTATTTTTATTATATTGTCCTTTTACCTGTACCTGG